GGCAGGTGGGGTGTTCAGGGCCCAGCTGCTGACACCTGATCCCGCCCTGACCAGGTGGGAGGACGGAGATTGGCGGCTGGCCCCTGAGATGCCCAAGATAACTAGACAAGGAGATAACCAGAGTCAATCCCAGTCGAGTTGGGTGATAGGCTGAGATGACGCACCGAGCCGCTGAGGCAGATCCTGTCTGGAGACACTCGGGCACCTTGATCGCAGGCAGGCCTGACCTGGCGGGGGGCGGGGGCGAGTGGGCACCAACCTCGGTGTTTCCGTGGCTCAGAGCTTCCGTGCCTTTCGGCTTGCTCTGCTGTAGTTTTGTTTTTGGGTCACACCTGGACGTGCTCCGGGGTCACTCTTGGCTCTGCACTCAGGACTTACTCCTGGAGGTGCTCGGGGGTCCCTATGGGATGCCGGGATTGAACCCGGGTCAGTTGTGTGCAAGGCAAATTCCCTCCCCGCTGTACTAGACTTCTGGCCCCAAGGCCCAAAACTTAAAGAAAAATCCTTGCTGGGGTTTCCCCGTCCCTGGCGTCCTGTCAGCCTTGTGGGTCTGCACACGGCTTGTGCGACTGCCTCGAGTGGCCAGTGACAAGGGCGCCCGCGTGTCCTCCTGCTCCCCAGGGCTGCTCTCTGCCCGGTGCTCCCGGCCCTGCAGCCCTCAACTCCTGCCCTGTGTTCACTCCTCCTTTCTGTGGTGTCCCCCTCCTCTCTCGGTGGCCCTCCCCCTGGGGTCACCCCCCTTCCTGCGTGGTGCTGGGACAGCAGAGCTGCCGGGTTTGTGCCGGCTTTGTGCCAGGTGCACGGTTGACCCCGGGGGCTTGGATTCAGGACCTCCTGCTTGTGAGGCAGTGCTCAAAACCCCCTCTTGTACATTCCTCCCCTCCAAGCTGAAGGAACGGACTTGACCCACGTTCAGGCTCACACTTCTGCTTCCTGCCGAATCACTGCCGGTAGCCAGCAGGCCAGGACCCGTGTGCCACGCCTGTGTGAAGCAGGGACGTTCCAGGGCGTGAGCCTGCTAGCGTCTTTGTCATGGACACACGTGGTCCCATCACAGGATTTAGGGTCAGGGTCCAAACACAGGAGCATGGGGGTGGGGGGGGGTGGGGGCTTGTTCAGGCCGGAGACTCTACTAGGCTCACACACAGCATTGAGTGCTCAAGTCTCAGGGAGACAGTGAGGCTCAAACACATTTTCTTTTGCGCTGTTTTTTTCTGTCTTTTTTTTTTTTTTGGCTTTTTGGGTCACACTCAGTGATGCTCAGTGTTGCCTACTGACCAAGTAAAAGAATGCTTGATTTTTCATTCCCCATTTGTCCTGCTCAAAGCTGGGCAACTTCCCAGTACAGGAGGTTTCAGTTTGGGGAAAATGCACACTCGTAAATGATTTGTAAATGGTGTATGAGGAACAGCACAATCTTTGCAGTTATGTCAAAGCTATATCAAAGCAGGTCGTTCTGACCAATAGCATTATGCCGAAAGGGTCACCAGGTGGCTGACCAACAGTGCATGGCTCTGCTCATTGTCCCATCCACTTTCCCACGTCCCATCCCCTTTCCTTCTTTTGGGTGGGCTGTGGAAACATACTTAAGTCTGTACTTATGCTCTGAATAAACGCAGGCATTCATGCCATCTCCTAAATGACGAACCCTGTGTGACTCGAGTGCTGATTTCACCCTGACGGCCCTCCCCTGGCTCTGCCCCGCAGCGCCGGACGTGGCACTCAGGAATTCCTCCTGGCAGTGCTCAGGACTGGTGATCGAATCTTGGTCAGCCGTGAGCAAGGCAAATCCCTCCCCACTGTGCTCTCACTCCAGACCCTCCTTTTGCATCTTTTTGTGTTATTTTCAGAATTGATTGATTTCCAAGTAGCGTTTGCTGGCCCTGATGTCCTCTGCAGAGTCCCTTGTTGCACACTGTGTTTCGTGGGCACCTTGACATGAAGACTTGGCGCTTGCCTGGTGCATGGCTGACCCCATAGGTCCCCTGAGCACCGCCAGGAGTGATTCCCGAGTGCAGACCCAGGAGTAACCCTGAGCACTGCCGAGTGTCCCAAAAAACAAAAGGAAAGAAAGAAAATACGTATCCTTGCCCGGAAGGGTAGCCCAGGGCCAAAGAGCCTGCCCTAACTGTGGTTGACCCCACCCCAGCCTGTACGTCCCTTCCCACCCAGGTCCTGCCAGGATGAGCTCCCATGACTGGATCAGAGTCAGCCCTGAGCACTGTCAGATGTCCCGTCCTCAGCCCCCAGGTTAGGTCACTCCGCCCTCCCCACCTCCCCCCACTCCCCGGTTCCCGCTCACTCATCCTCGAGGGGACCCGCACTCATTCAGCTTGTGCTCCCATCCGGAGCAGGCCAGGCCATACTCCTCTGTACAGCTCTCCGGCCTTAGTGGGATGGGCTACTCTCTGGCCACGGTGCGGCCGGTGTTGCTCACAGCACTGGGGTCACAGAGAGCAGGGCTGTCAGGGTCGAGCTCAGGGCCTCTGCCCTGTCGCTCTGCCCCCCCCCCGACCCCCCCCCCGGCTCACAGATTTCCTGGCCCGGCTCCTGAGGGGGGCCCTGGTCTGGGTCACTGGGTCCAGGTCCCACTCGGGGGATGCTGAATGACCTCAGTTGGAGATCTGTAACTGACAAACATTTGTCAAAAGTTTTCTGAAACCACTTTCACAGGGCCCGGGGATCCAGAACTGGGCCCCGCAGGGACCAGAGGCTCGTTGGCCATGTAGTGCTGACGTCTGCAAGGGCAGCCCTCCGGAGCCTCAGCCAGACACTGACATCACGAAGGGTGGCGCCTGCCCCTTTAAGAATGGCCCATGATGCCCTCCTCCTTGCTGAATTCTAGTTCTACCTCAGAACATTCTAGACTCCAACTGCCATTTTCAGTCTCTCCACGAGACTGGCACGAGCCTGTTTGGCAGAGCTCAGTACTGAAGCTGCGAGTGCAGTGTGACACAGGTGAATCTGAGTCTCTGGGCTTTCTGCCCGCGTGCGGGCGGCTTTTTTCTCTAACAGTTCTTTAGTGTATGATAGTTTTGAATCTTTAGTTAGTTTAAGTTTTTTTACTAGTTATATATATATATATATATATAAATATATATATATTTGGGTGGTGTGGGGGCGGGGTGGGGTGGGGTGGCCATACCTGGCTGTGCCCAGGGGTGACCCTGGCCGGCTAACGTCCCTGTGCTGACGGAGATCGAGCCCAGGACAACTGGATATAAGGCAAGTGCGCTCCCCACTGTCCTGCCTCTCTGCCCCTTGCGGACTTCTCTATTGAAATATGGAATGACTCTGAAGTCAGTGGGCCCTCATGGGGGGCTGATGAGAAGCAGAGGAGAAGATATCACTCCCCCGGGACTGGCTGGAGCGCTGGCACTGCTGAGTGCGATGAGCCCCGCCAGCCCCATGACGCCCACTAGGCCTTCCCGGGGTCTTGGGCCAGAGTGAGGGGTTGCCCTTTACAGGGAAAGGGAGTCGATCCTCGACCTCCTCAGGCCCCCGGGCTTTTGTCCTTCTCGCAGAAAAGCATTTCAGGAGATGAGCATGAAGCAGAAACATTTTATTTGGAGGCCTTTAGGAAGGGGAAGGAGGGAGGGAGTAACACGCTCGAGAGAGAGTGCGGCTTCTCCAGAGGTGCAGAAAGCCACTGAACATGTTATGTTGCTAGGTTGCATTAGGTCTGAAAGTCCACACCTCAGGAGGGGAGAAGCCCGTCACATGACCGACCTCATAGGCAAGAGCAGTACCTGGGCTCGGGCACACATGAGCGCCCTCCCTTGGTTCAAGGTGGCTAATCTAGGGATTTCCCCAGGCTGCCCCTGGTGGGAGTTTCTAGCTACCTACAGTCCGTTGCTAGGGTGGTTGCCAAGGGGGTAGAGTTGAGTGGTCCATGGTCCTCTTAGAAATTCCTTTCCTGGGCTTTGTTCCTATTCCCTCGGGGGGTCCAGCCTGCTCTGGGCCTCCTAATGTGGGTTAATTTTGACCAGACTTTGGGTTCCGTGCCCTCAGGTGGTCTTTTGGTGGCCATAAAGCTTTTGTTGACTTCCTCGGAGTTCCATTGCCATGGGGACGCTTCCCCCATCTACCTGTCTGCCTCAGTCCTGTGGGTTAAGAAATGGAGTTAATACTGCCTTGTGGTTATCCAACTTGGGCAGCGTCACAAGGAACGTAGGAAACGCCGAAAACTCCTTCGCTCCCCTTTGGCGCAATTTTTTTTTCTTTTTGGGTCACACCTGGTGATGCACAGGGTTACTCCTGGGTCTGCACTCGGGAATCACTCCTGGCAGTGCTTAGAGGACCATATGGGATGCTGGGAATCGAACCTGAGTCGGCCGCGTGCAAGGCAAATGCCCTTCCCACTGTGCTATCGCTCTCCAGCCCCCCATGGCGCAGTCTTGCTGGGCCCTTTTCCCTGGCAGTTCTCAGCCCATAGAAAAAAGTGTGCCTGTTGCTTGCCTTAGCTTCTACGTGTAACCCCGGGCCTCTCGCACATACACATACGCACACACGCACACAGAAGACCAGCCATCACTGCTGAGTCGCCTGCCGGCTCGTCAGTGTCTGGACGGGGAGGTGGTCAGTGACACTCGCGGTACTTAGGGATGATTTCTGGCTCCTGAATGTGTTTGGTGGTGGGAGTGATGGCAGGGAGGGCGTGATGGTCAACTGCCCGCAGGGCAAGTACCTGTCCCCTCTGCTCTCTGGCCCTGAATCGGCAGTTGTTTGTTTGTCTGTTTTGGGTTGAGTTTTTGCGCAGGAATGACACTTGGTGGGCTCAGGGGGCTGTGCGGGAGACTGGGGGTCGCACTCGGGGTGGCGAGTGCCAGACTGGCAGCTCTCTGGGCTCCGGAAGCTGCTGTGGTCGCTCCCCTGAGACAGACTCTCTCCTCTGCTCTTCAGAGATTTAGTCCTGAGAACGAGTGTGCCTCAGAAGGCCCCACAGTGGGCTCGATGGTCGGGGCCTGGTAGTGGCCGCGGCAGCGTCTGACCGCCTGACCATGAGTCTGCTGAGGCCCAGCGGGCTGAAGTCCCCCACCAAGATCCTCAAGCATGGGAGCTGGGCCCTGAAGGCACCCTCGGCCGGTAAGTGCGCTCAGTCCAGGCCAAGGGAGACTCATTCCCACCCGGGAACCCCATCCCGAGTCCTCGCCCGGGAAGGACTCCCTGAGCTGTAGACAAGTCCATGGCTCTGGGGACAGCTCTCACACACGAGTGTCACGTTCTGTGAGTTTACTGTCACGGCAACCGGTGACAGCTGAGGCGACCAACACGCTCCCTTCTAACTGCTAGCTCCCTTGCCCAGGCTTGGGGACAGGCTTAGGGAGGTGGACTCACCTGGACTAGAGGGCCTCATTGCCGGCCAAAGCCACAGTACAGTGGGGAGGGCAACTGGCACCCCATGTGACTCTACACCCTCAACCTCACCATGAGTAACCCTGAACGTAGAACCAGAAATAGGCCCTGAGCATTGGCTGGGTTGCTCCCCGCCCAAAAGAAAAAGAAGATGGGCCAGTGGACACAGCAGAAATAAGACACTGGGTTCGAGCTTTCACCTGGCTTGGTCCGTAGTATCACGGGGTGTATCCAAAGATTTCCCCTGAGCTGCCCAAAGTATGACTGCGGCCTGGGATGCTGCGGTAGGTGAGCACGTCCGCTTCACGGCAGGCCCAGCCAGGCTTCGCCACAAGCAGCCCCCGTCATTGGCTGGGAGTAATCCCGAGCACTGCTGGGTGTCCCTCCCCCCCAACCACACTTTAACTGGACCTGCACAGGCCCTTCCTGTCCCTTCTGACCCTTTCTGCTCTTCCAGCTGCTGCTCCCGTTGAGAAGACCATGCCTGGGGAAAAAACCCCCATCGCCCCCTCCTCGGAGATGCAGGAGGAGTTTGTGGGCGACTTCCAGGTCGGGGAACGAGTCTGGGTGAACGGGAACAAGCCTGGATTCATCCAGTTCCTCGGGGAGACCCAGTTTGCCCCTGGTCAGTGGGCCGGGATCGTCTTGGACGAGCCCATCGGCAAGAACGACGGCTCGGTGGCGGGTGTGCGCTACTTCCAGTGCGAGCCGCTGAAGGGCATCTTCACCCGGCCGTCCAAGCTGAGTAGGAGCTTGCAGGCCGACGATGAGACCAACTGCCGGCAGCCAGCGCCTGCCGCCTGGGCCACACCGCCCCTGTCGGCCTCCCCGGCCCCTGCCAGCACCGCGAAGGTGCCCCAGTCCCCCGCGAAGGAGTCACCGGCCACCCCTCACATCAGCAGCCTGACCAGGACGGCCAGCGAGTCCATCTCCAACCTCTCTGAGGCCAGCTCCCTCAAGAAAGGGGAGCGGGAGCTTAAGCTTGGGGACCGGGTGCTGGTGAGTGCCGAGGGCAGCGGTCGCGGGTGGCTGTCCATTCGCCTGTCTGGTCCATCAGTTCCTCCAGATTCGCGGTTTGGGTGGAAGCAGGAGCAGCCGGGACGCCTGGTCCTGCAGTTTCCAGTGTGATGGATGCGTGCGGGGATGCTGCCAGTTTTGCCAGTTTAGCCAAAACAGGGTGGAGGGGTCATGCCGTGGGGAGGGGTCATGCTTGGCACGCCTCTGACCCGGGGTTTAAGTCTTGGTCCCATGTACAGTCCCCCAAGCACATCCCGGAGGGATCCCTGAGCACCAAGCCAAGAGTAAGCCCTGAGCACTCTGACTGTGACTCAAAAACAAACCAATGAACAAAGTTGGATATCGGTTCTATTTCTCTGGTTTTCGATGTTTTTGCTTGGGGCGTCACAGGGTGGTCGCACACAAAGCCAGTGCCCTTCCCCTGGTTCTCCAGCCCTGTTTGTCAGCATTCCCATCATTGTCCAGCGCTTTGATTCTGTTTTGCTCTGTGTCCCGGGAGCCAAGCGTCAAGCCAAGGCATAGTGAAGGAGAACTGGAAAATCGAACTCTGCTAAGATACGAGCATAGTCACTTTCCTTTAGCTGGTTTCTGGCTTAATTGTTCTCCAGCGGTGGGGTTGCCACTGCTCCGCTCCCACACCCACGGGGCAGCGACCCCCTCGCCACACCAGGTGGCTGGCCTGGGTCTGAGATTCCCGGGGGTTTGGTCAGCCAGGCCACCAGTGACAGCGAGTGGGTGTGAATGCCGCTGCCTTGCCTGGACACTGAGCAGCAGTGTCTGCTCACCCTGTAGGGGTTGCGGGGGGAAATGGCACCTTGACCTTTGGGGTTTCTTCAGGAAATCCCGACTCTGAAGCCAGAATGTTCGTTTGCGGGGGTGGGGGCGCTGTGCGCAGTCCAGGGTGCCTGACCCACGTCCCTCCATCCCTCCGGCAGGTGGGAGGCATGGAGGCCGGTGTGGTGCGCTTCCTCGGGGAGACGGACTTCGCCAAGGGGGATTGGTTCGGCGTAGAGCTGGACAAGCCACTGGGCAAGAACGATGGTGCCGTGGCCGGAACGAGGTGGGTCCCCCTGCCCCCCCAGACAGTCTGGGGCCATGCAGGGTGCCCGGGAGGCGCTGAGGGGACTGCAGGCCACTTCTCTTGGTTCTTAGGCGGGGCCACTTCCGTTGGCACTCGGGGACCCTGCAGGGATGTGGGGACAGCCTGGGGCCCCCTACATGCAGCTGTGCTCGGGCCGCAGGAACCCCCGGGCCTGCTGTCGCCCTTCAGATGCCAGGGAGGCTGCTTGGAATCGCCCTTGGTTTGCGTGGTGGGGGTGGGCGGCGTGCGAGAGAGTGTGGGTGTCAATGTATGAGGGAGTGTGTATGTGAGCGTGTGAGTGTGGGGCTGTGAGAGTGTTGGTGGGGGCGTGGGCATGAGAGTGTTGGTGGGGGTGTGAGCGTGTTTGTGGGGGAATGAGAGCGTGTCAGTGTTGGTTTGAGAGCGTGCAAGTGTTGGTTGGGGTGTGCGTGTGTGTTACTGTGGGGCTGTGGGTGTGTGGAAGTGTTGGTTGGGGTGTGAGTGTGTGTGGGTGTGGGAGTGTCGGTGGGGTGTGAGTGTGAGTGTGTGTTGGTTTGGGTGTGAGTATGTGTGTTTCTGGGGAGTGAGTGTGTGTGAGTGTGGGGCTGTGGACATGTGGGAGTGTCTGTTGGGGTGTGAGTGTGTGTGTGTTTGACGGGGTGGGAGTATGAGAGTATGGGAGTGTTGGTTGGGGTGTGAGTGTGTTTGTTGGGCTGTGAGAGTGTGGAAGTGTGGGAGTGTTGGTTGGGGTGTGAGTGTAAGTGTGTGTTGGTTGTGGTGTTTATGTGTGGGAGTGTTGGTTGGGGTGTGTGTGTGTTTGTTGGGTTGTGAGTGTGTGTGAGTGTGGGCTGGTGGAGGGTATGATGTTTGTTGGGGAGTGAGTGTGAGTGTGTTTGTTGCGGTGTGAGTGTGAGTGTGTTTGTTGGGGTGGGAGTGTGAGAGTGTGGGAGTGTTGTTTGGGGTGCGTGTGTGAGTGTGTTTGTCGGGGTGTGAGTGTGTGGGCATGTGGGGCTGTGGGAGCGTGTTCGTTTGTGGGGGTGTGAGACTGTGGGACTCAGTGGACTTCTGGGTCGGCGCTTGTGTCTCTTGGTCTCTTGCCGAAGGTGTTTTTGTCCCCCCCTCCTCGTTGTCCGCAGGTACTTCCAGTGTCAGCCCAAGTATGGCTTGTTTGCTCCCATTCACAAAGTCACCAAGATCGGCTTCCCGTCCACGACGCCGGCCAAGGGCAAGGTGGCCGCTGTGAGGCGTGTGATGGCCACCACCCCCGCCAGCCTGAAGCGCAGCCCTTCGGCCTCCTCGCTCAGCTCCGTCAGCTCCGGGGCCTCATCCGTGAGCAGCAGGCCCGGCCGCACGGGACTAGTAAGAAGCCCCCCACCACTGCGGGGTGCTCGGGCCCCCACAGACTCCCACAGCCCCAGGGGCAAGAGGCGGAGCAGGAGCACGTGGGCTGAGCAGCTCCGGGTGGCAGGCGAGTGGCTTCCCAGCCACCACAGGTGACAGGAGCAGGGATGGGCCTTTCCTGGGGTGCTCAGGGCTCCTCTCTGGCCTCAGGCCACCTTAGGGATGAAGTGGGGTAGCTGAAGGGGTGCCTGAGGGTCAGAGCAGGGCCCAGAGACTCTGGGGAACGCTTGGCCCTTCATCTTGCTTCTTTGCTCTCTCCGTCTCTCCCTGCTCCCTCCTGTCCCTCTGCACCGCTGTCCACATGCAGAGTGGCCTCGACTTCTGTCCATTGCGGTGCCTCAATTCAAAGCTTGGGCCTCGTGGCTTCTCCCCTCACGTCTATCTGAGTCATAAACACTAAAGTGTGTCTGAATATGCAAGGGTGCCCTGAGATATTGTCCACAGGGAAACGGGCCCACGATGGAGAGTGTGTCCCGGGGGGATGACTTTGCTGGGGGCTGCGCTTCCTGCCGCTGCCTCTGCTCCGTGCATTGACCCTCGATGCGGAAGAGGAGGGAGTGAGTGTGTGTGCAACGGAAGATACAAAACAGATGACACGGGAACGGGAGCCAGGAGGCCACGCGCCGTGGGCACAGGCCTGGGGCCAGTCCTGTCTTGCTCGACCACCACCAGGTTTCCCTGCCCCACCTGCATCCTCAGGTCCGACTCCTCCTTCCCTTCGCCTCACCATTTAGGAGGGGAGCAGACTCAGAAGCCCCTCTCCTTCCCTCGCGAGCCAGCCCATTTGTGGAATTTGGTTTTGTTTTTCTGCTTGACTGTGGGCCATACCATACAGTGCTTCAAGGGGCCATTTGCAGTGCTGGGGTTGTGCCGGGGCCTCCCACCTCCAAGCAAGAGCCCCACGCCTGAGACGTATCTCCAGCCTCCCCCCGCTGTCTTGTTTTGTTCTCTTTTGGGGTCACACTTGGCAGAGCTCAGGGCTTTCTCCCACCTCTGTGCTCGGGATTATTCCTGGCGGGCCTCCGGGATTGACCCTGGGCAGCGCTGGGGCTTCGCTCTCCAGCTCTTTGGCCCCTGCCTTGCATATCTTTATGCAGGGTGGAGCTCACTCCTAAACTGAACATCACCGTTAGCGTCTATGACAGGAATATAGAAAGATTCTGTGTGGCTTCACGGAAGTATACCTCGACAACATAATTCCATAAGTGCACACACAAGCGTTCATACACACAGTCACTCATACATGTACACGTAGTGCATACCGTGTATACACAGGCTTATGGGTATACACACACAGGCACATACATGCATAAACACAACGTGCACATGCACACAGGTGCGTGTAGATATGCCCACCAGAACATACATGCATGCATACATACATGTACACGGGTCCGTGCGTGCCCTGTGGAGGCCTCCCTGTTCGTCTGTTGGCTGAGTTGCTCTTCTGAGGTACCAGGCTCCCACAGAAGGCCTGGCCTTGCTGGGATGGAGCCTGGGGCCTCACAAACCACGCGCAGGGCAGAGGCTTTGGCATCAGCATCCTGAGTTCAGCTCTTGGCCCCGACCTTACCCAGCCCCTCAGCACGCGCCTCCCCCCATGCTAGGGGTGCTGCTTTCTCCCTGCTCCGGTGCCTGAACCTCACAGTCTCGTCTCCATAGTTGGCTGAAAGAAGACCATCGCTCCTGTGCTGGTTTCCTCAGGGAGCTGTCTCGGGCCCAGGAAGCGCGTGCATCTGGCCTGCCCCACCCGCTCAAGCCAGGAGGCACAGGGAACACCGCCGCCCGCCTTTCCTTGTTTTTATTTTTGCTCTTTGGGGTTCACCTGGCAGTGCTCAGGGACTCCAGGCGTGGTGCTTGGGGGCTGCTCCCGGTGGAGGGGGGTTGAGCCCGGGTCTTGGTGTTAGACCCCCAAGGCTGGCAAGCTCTTCCCAGCCACCCCTTGAAATCCGAGTTGACCGCAGTTCCCGGGAGCACTGCGCATGGCTGGCCCGAGAGCTCGTGTGCTCCTAGAAATTTTAGTTATTATTTGGTTTTGGGGCCACACCCAGGGGTGCTCAGGGCTTATTCCTGGCTCTCTGCTTGGGGGGTGGGGTCACTCCTGATGGTGCTGGATCTTGAACCTCTGCAAGCACCTTCCCCCCCCCCCCAACAGACTCTTTGGCCCTGGGGAGGGCATCTAATCGGACCAGATATACTTTAAGTGTATCGGGAAATCACGGCCAGGTCCTTATGCACAGGCAAGGATGATCCCGCTCTCCGGACAGAACCAGGTGGCTCAAGAGCTCCCAGCAGGCAAAGCAGCAGTGGACAGCCTGGGCCCTGCTGGGCCAGTCGGTCAGGAGGCGTTTGGCAGCAGCTCAGATGATGCGGGAAAGTGGCAAGAGAACCTGTGGCTGGACCGCAGCAGGGCGATGGAACAGGGATGGCCGGGCAGAAGGAGCGGAAGTCCTGGCCACCCCCGCCGCAGCCCCCGCCACCATGTGCCCGAAGAATGAAGATCAGGTCCCGCCTTGTCCCCTCCTGCAGGGGCCGTTGTGCAGAGAGGGATCTGGGTCTGCAGAGCGACCATGAGCAACCACGAGCCCAGGATAGAACGGACAGGACCCCCGGTCCCCGCAGCCCTTCAGCCCACTCCCCTCCCCTCCTCACTGTCTTTGCCTCTTCTCTCCTTCCCTTTGTGCTTGGTCTTTCCCTGAGCTGCCCTTGCTGTCCTGCTCGCTGGGCGTGAGCCCTCACACATTCTCACCCACCACTTTTCCTTTTTTTTTCCCTGGACTTTGGCCATGCCCCAGCAATACTCAGGACTTACTCTGGACTCTGCACTCAGGAGTCACTCCTGGTGGGCTCGGGACCCTATGGGGTGGGTACCTGTTATCCAGCTCGGGTCAGCGGCATGCAAGGCCAGCGCCTTTCCCGCAACTTTATCATTCTAGCCTCTCATCCCCCATTTTCGAAGGCAGATGGCACAGGGGTCTTTTATAGGGTCACACCCAGTGACCCCCGGGGGCACGGGGCCATTCCCAGAGACAAGAGTCTCTGGTTACTGCTATTCAGGCATGGGGCGGGTGCCCGGGAGAGCGAGGTGAGCTGGAAGGAAAAGGAAGAGAGAAGGGACAGGCTGCCCAGGGAGACCCTGACGGACCTGCAAGGCTGAAGATGCTGGAGCTGGCCTCAAGCTCATGCCGAGGGCTCATCCTTAAGGAAGCTCAGGCCAGAGCGGACTGTGGAGGGGGCTGCCTCCGGCTCTGCAGAAGATCTCTGGATTCCCACGAGGCCCGAGGTCAGTGGAACCCAGGTCCCGTCCAAGGATCTTCGGGAAGGTTTCAAGACGTTTCTGCTGAGAGTCGCTGGCCCATATGCAAGGATGCAGCACTGCTCCATGTGCTTTGCCGAGGATCACCGCGAGCATGCCCGTGTCGGCCGGCCCCATCCCCTTCACGTCTCTTTTTCCTTTGCAGTTGCCGGAAACCTCCTCCCGCTACGCGCACAAGATCTCCGGCACCACCGCCCTCCAGGAGGCGCTGAAGGAGAAGCAGCAGCACATTGAGAAGCTGCTGGCCGAGCGGGACCTAGAGCGGGCGGAGGTGGCCAAGGCCACGAGCCACATGGGGGAGATAGAGCAGGAGGTGGCCCTGGCCGGAACGGGCACGGCCAGGTGACGTCTGTGCAGACGGCAGTGCTGGGGCCGCGAGACGCCTGCGGTAGAGGCTGGGCGCCAGATTGGTGCAGGCGGTGCAAGGAGAGGCCGTGGGGCCCCGTCTGCCGTCGTTGCGGTGGCATCCGGCGCGTGGTTTGATCGCATGCGCCTTCTGCTCGCCCTGTGGGGGTTTAGGGAGTGCCGAGTTGTCCGCATCGGTGCTTTCGTGGTGTGGTTCCCCTCTGGCCTTCCAGAAACGCTGTAGCTTAGGTGGGAGATGCATTCAGCTTGCCGTGGTGACAGATGGCGATGGCAGCCCACAGAGGGCTGTAGGGGGCGGGCGAGGCCACTCACGCGCCGTTGCCTCTACAGCACGTCCTGGAGCTGGAGGCCAAGAACGACGAGCTGCGGGCCATGCTGGAAGCGGCCGACTGGGAGAAGGTGGAGCTGCTGAACCAGCTGGAGGAGGAGAAGAGGTGAGGCCGTGCCCGGAGCTGGGGGCTCCCTCGGGTGGGGCACTCCTGGCCTTCCAGGACTGTGAGAACCAGAAACCAACGGGTGCCCAGTCCTGAACACGGCCTCACCGGGAGGACTGGGGGCGGAACTCAGTGGAGCCAAGCCACCCCCGGCCCTCCCTGCTGTGTCCACCTGGCCTGGTATTCAGGAGGCCTGTGCTGGGTGGCAAGGAACTGTCCTAACCCAGTGGGGCCCTGTGGGAGTCCCTGTGGTGAAATCCCAGGCAGGAGGAAACCCACAGTAAACATGGGGCACGACAGCAGACAGACATGGCTCAGGCTAGGCTGCAGACAGATGGATGTGGTGCTCAGGCCGGGGTGCAGACAGACAGACATGGGGCTCAGGCCAGGCTGCAGACAGACGGACGCGGGGCTGAGGCCTGGCTGCAGACAGATGGACACGGGGTGCTGGCCGAGACCGCCTTTTCAGGTGGGCTCCCGGCATTGTGGTGCCCAGGGGCACTGCGAGTGCCTGGCTCAGCCCCTCAGCTCCACATGCCAACTCGACAGTCACTGGGAGCCCCTCCCCCCCGCCTCCCCCTCTCCCCCGCCCCCGAGTCATTGGCTGCTTCTCCCCCAGGGGCTCAGTTGTTGTCCTGATGTGGGGACAGGCGCTGGCTGGGAGGGACTGGCAGGCGCCGCGGGTCAGTTTTTAACCACCTCTGTTAGCTGCGAGGCAGAAAGGGTTGATATGACACTGCACCTGGTGTTGGCTCGGCCTAACTTCCTCCTGTAGCCTGCGGGTCCCACCCAGTGCTCGAAGCTGAGGGGACTCGCTGACTTTCTTTTTTTTTTCTTTTTGGGTCAACCCAGCGATGCTCAGGGGTTACTCCTGCCTCGGCACTCAGGAATTACTCCAGGCATTGCTCCGGGGTCCACAGTGGTATGCTGGGAATTGAACCCGGGTCGGCCACGTGCAAGACAAACGCCCTGCCTGCTGTACTCTCGCTCTGGCCCTCCCCGACTCTCTCAGCCCTCCTGTGTGTGGAGCCGGGGGCTGGGTCAGGTGCATCTACAAGATGGTGGCCCTCTTGGGGCGCAGCAGTGACGCCCCTCACAACGTCTCCCTCTCCCCCACAGGAAAGTGGAAGACCTCCAGTTCCGAGTCGAGGAGGAGTCCATCACCAAAGGCGACCTGGAGGTAAAGCCCGGGCAGGTCCCGGAGGCTTGCAGGGTGCAGGCAAGGATGCGGGGCAGCCTGGCCAACCCCGCCGGGACCACTTCTGCTGGAGACTCCGAATCAGACAGGGATACCTGGGTTCATGCACCTGGCAGGGCCTGGCTGACACATCTCTGCTGCTTGGGGCTGGAGGCTGTTCTTGATGAGCGTTTTTCTCTCGTTCTGACAGTCGGGTCTATGCCTTTGCCTCAGCTTTGATTTTCAGTCGAGCAGCACAAATCAAATCCTTTAGAACCCCATTTTTAGAAGGTTTTCCTTAAAACAAGATGAAGCAAAGAGTCAGTTTGAAAAAGACAAATTTCTATTTCTGCTTCTTTTCCTTCCTGTTTTAAGTTCATGGAAATTTTGTTTTCCCACCAGATGGAGGTGAAGTCCCTGCAGGCGGCCTCTGAGAAGCTCGCCAAGGAGAACGAGTGCCTGAGGACCAAGCTGGACCATGCCAACAAGGAGAATGCGGACGTGATCGCCCTGTGGAAGTCCAAGCTGGAGACGGCCATCACCCCGCACCAACAGGCCATGGGCGAGCCGAAGGCATCCGTGAGCCAGGGCGTGGGCGCTGAGGCGGCCGAGCTGGCCGAGCTCAAGATGCAGATCGAGAGGCTACAGTTCGAGTACCAGCAGGAGGTGGAGAGCCTGAAGGCCCAGCAGGCGGCTGTGCGTGCAGCGCATGCCTCTGAGCTGAAGACGCTCAGGTCGCGGCTGTTCAGGATGGCCCAGGAGCAGAAGAACAGCCTGGAGGCCGCACGGGCCAAGCTCGACCAGATCGAGGACCAGCACCTGGTGGAGATGGAGGACGCCCTGAACAAGCTGCAGGAGGCGGAGACGAAGGTAAAGCACCTGGACGGGTTGTGGGCCGTGTGTAGTCAGCAAGCCCAGGCCCTGGCCAATGCCACGGCACAGCTGGAGGCCACCCAGCAGAAGCTCTTGCAGCTCGATGGGCTTTGGAAGGCCAGTTCCTAAGGTCAATTGGGAATGGAGAAGCTCAGGCAGCAGCTCCAGGTGGCTGAGCAGCAGATTCAGGAGTTAGAGAATGCAAAGCGGGCCGAGAGCTGCAGGTTGGTACTCGGGCGCCCTCGCCCACTTCCACGCTCGCTCCCTGCATGCTGTGTGTCAGTCTGCTCGCCGCCGTGTTCCGGCTTGGTGCTGACAGGTCTCCCGGTCACGTCCCGTGCGGTTCCCTCTGATGGGACTGAGAAGGTGTCGGCACGATTCTGGGGCTGTCATTGGTCCCCAGCACCCGGATGCCGTGCTAGCCTTGGCCCTGGCTAATCGGGCCCATCTGGGGTCTTTCTGAAACAGAGAATTCTTCACGAGGCCAGTGAGAAAACAAGATAGGAGCCCCCAGAGCAGACCTCTGCCCCCCACCCCTTGGGCCCGCTGCATACTCGCCGAGTCCGCCCAGACACTTGGGCTCGAGTCAGGCCGCGAGGGTATTTCCCTGACCTTGCTGACCACCTGCTCGTGTGACGGGCTTTGCCCTCCTCTCCCCGAGGCGCCTCAGTTCCCAGCTGGTGCTCAATGCCTCTGAGCCTCTGAGCTCCCTCAGGGCTGGTGACGTGACCCATCTTGGTATTTCTCATTGCCAGCCCCTCCCTCCCTGCAGCACAAGCCCCCACCCAGCCCTGCAGAGATTTCATCCCTTTCAGCCTCTAAGGGGTGCTTGGACCAAGTCCGCCTTCCAGCATGGCCCCCTGCTGGCCACAGGCATGGACTCTCATGGTAGCCCTGACCCTGGGGAAGGACGAGACAGTGAGATCTGGGCCAAGCCGAGGAAGCTGCAGTTCTCACCAAGGAGCCCCGAGAGATGCCCTTTTCCTCCTATAGGATTGTGGTGGCAGGGACGTGCCCTCAACCCCCCCCCCCCCCCGCTCCCCTCGCGCTGGGCACTTTGTTGGAGAAACTTCTCTGTTGGCCAAGATGGAAGGGCTGTGGGCTTTCTAGACAGGACTGACAGACATAACAGAAGGGCCCCGAGATCCCCGGGAGTTCCTCTCAGGACTCAGGACTCCTTGGCTGGCATTCCAGAAACATCGGCTGAAACAAATGGAATCAATTCCTAGGACACAGCAGGGGATAGCTGACCCACTTGTTCGCATCAAGATGTAACAAACGTCAAGTTCGGGTGACTGCTGTCTAGTGGATTAGAGGTTCTTCATTTTAAATTTCATATTGAAACCCCTCAAACTTTTAAAGTCACAGAAAAGAAACTACAAGATAGTAAATCTTGGGGGCCGGAATGATAGTACAATGGGAAGGGCATTTGCCTTGCACGCGGCCCACGTGGGTTCGATCTCCATCATCCCATAGGGTCACTGTCATTGTCTCTACCCTCCCGTTGTTTATCGATTAGCTCGAGGGGACCCAGTAACGTCTCCATTGTGACACTTGTTACTGTGTTTGTCATATCGAATACATCACGGGGAGCTTGGCAGGCTTTGCCTGCAGGCGAGATACTCTCGGTGAGCTGGCCGGGTTACTGCCAAGGAGAAATTCCTGAGCATTTAGGGTGACCGTAAAAGCCAAAAGAAAAAAAAAAGATAACCTTTTATTCCCTCCCTTCCCTCCCTTTCCCTTTCTTCCCTGTTTCCTCCCTCCCTCCTTCCTATCCTTAGCTTCCCTCCTCCCTTGCTTACTTCCTTCTTCCTCGCCAAGCCATGCTCTGGGCTCTGGGGTCCTCCCGCCCAGCAGTAGTGGGGCTTTTCAGCTTGTGGACCGATCTCAGTCTCGTCCAGTGGTGCTGCAGTTCCAACTCGGGCCTGGTGTGTACTCCAGCCCTTTGTGCAGTCTCCCCGGCCCTGGAAAGTCAGTCTTTCTCATAGGCTTTCTTATTTTCTGGTCATGCCAAAGTTAGGTCTAGAAAACGCCTCTGTTTGGGCCGTTTCCAATAACCACTAGACAGTCATCACCAGAACTGCCGGCGTCAAGCCCTTGGCTTCGCGAGCTTCAGGCAATCACGCTCACCTCACGCCTCTGTTCTTTGGGGTTGTGTTGGGTCATGGGATTCTCATACGTGTTTTCTGTTTTGTTTTCCCCTTCCCATTCCTGTTTGTCTCCTTGGTCCATTCACTCCATCCTTGTGACTCTGGTAGGCCGATAGCCTGGCCGAGGAGCTGCAGGGGAAGGGGCTAGCGCTTCATAGTCTTCAGGAGAACTTGAACGAAAGCGGCCAAGCTGAGGGGCCGTGTGTGCGCACGTGTGTGTGTACATGTGTGTTTGTGTGTGCATGCTGGTGAGCAGAGCAGAGGGGCTGTGTGTGTGCGAGTGTGTATGTTTGTGTGTTTGCGTTGTGTGTGTGTGAGTTCGTGTTTGTGCGTGTGTGCTGGGAGCGGGCAGGGGGCCGGCGGCTGACGGTGGCCCCCGGGTCCCCGCAGGAGGAGAAGGTGGACGTGAGCCGCAGCCAGTGCCAGGCTCTACAGGCCGAGCACGCCAAGGCCAGCGTGGAGAGCCAGGGGCAGCACGAGGAGGCGCCGCAGGCCCTGCAGCAGCTGCTGCTGCAGGCGAAGGAGAAGCTGCAGGCGGTGCAGGCGGAGAACGGGAGACTGCTGCGGGAGGTGGCCGAGCTGAAGACACAAGCCGACAAGGCCAAGGTGGGTGGCCGCAGTGCAGCGCCGCGGCTGATGGCGGCCATGGCCCGTGTGTGTGTTGGTGCCCGGCCGCTTTCCACCACGCACCGCAGCCAGGGCTACGTCTCCTCTCTGGACCACCTGCTGGCCCAGTTCTGTGGCCAGCAGCCTCGTGTGCATGCTCAGGTCAGTCCCATTCCGGTAACATGGCCGTCAGCGGTCAGCTGCCCAGCACACACCAGTAGCCTGCTGCGGCTCATGGCTGCTGAGCTGGACAGAGAAGATAGCCCTTGCTGCAGAAAGTTCTGGAAAGTACATGGCGATTCAACTGTGGTGTGCATTGAGACTCAGAAATGAAAACGCACAACCCGTTGCTGACGGGCAGGGAGAGCAGGTGAGGGAGACCCTGACCCGTGTGCGGCCAGTCCTCCTGGAGCCCCTAGACCCCTCCCAAATGACTGCAAACACTGCCCTCCCATTGCTCATCGATTGGCTCGAGCGGGCCCACTAATGTCTCCATTTTGAGACTTGTTACTGTGTTTGGCAAGCAAAAACTGTTGGCTTCAGTCTCCAAAGCTTGGTGGATTCGTCCGGATTTTCTATAAAGTGTATAACTTTTGGGACTAAGTCCATTTCCTGCCTCTGTTTGTCCCTGTGAAAATCGTTTGACAAGCAGTGGTTGCTTTTCCCTTCCCCTCCTGAACAAAGTTCCAAAACAAAATACTTTTTGTAGTTCTTTGAATTGTATTGAAAACTAGTTTTTGAATGCATCCCTTCTAGGACAGAGTGATGGATTTTATAACAGAAGAATTGAAGTGGGGGGAAAAATCTTATGCCCCAATGTCAAGATCCAACTGTACTTACACCTTCCGGGGAGCTGTCAGGAATCATTTCAGACGGCATTTCAAAAATCAACTCGGCTGATAGTAGAATGGGTAGGGTGCTGCCTTGTACTCGGCCAACTTGGGGTTGATCCCCAGCATCCCGTCCTCCGGCCCTGCCAGCAGTGATCCCTGAACACAGAACCCTGAGCGAGACCCGAACACCAGCAGGTGTGGGGCCCCCATCCACAAAATAGGCAGGTAGTTATGTTGACGCTAAGAAGCTAACTGTGTCTGAGCCTCTCCATCCTGAGTCTGTGTGTGTGTGTGTGTGAGTGTGTGCGCGTGCGCGTATACACGCGTGTGCAGGTAAGACTACTCTGCCATTTTCATTTCTGGTATTTAGGCCACATGAAGTGCTTGGCTTGCTTGTGCCTGCTTGATCTCATTCTTGTTTCCATTCTTCCCCGCTTTTTGTTTCTGCAGTCCTTAACTTGCTTATTAAGCTCGGCCAAAGAAGAGATGGAGCTGATGTCAGAGGATCGCAGGGCCCTGAGGTCAGAGAATGAATTGCTGGCGAAGGAGAAGCTCTGTCTGAAGTCCGAGAGAGGGTGGTTTCAATTGAAACTCAGAGAAGCGGAGGCCAAAAACTCTTCGCTGCGGGAAGAGCAGAGGAAGCTCTGGCTGTTGAACCAAGCGATTCGGTTGGATAAGGAGAAGGTCATCGAGGCCAGGTGGGCCGCGGAGAAGCTGTGCCAGCAGGAGCGGCTGGACCGAGAAGCCCTCGAGGCGGAGAAAGAGAAAGTGCTGGAAGAGGGCAGGGCGGTGCAGGAGGAGCTCCAGAGGGTGGGCGCGGAGAAGGACGCACTGCAGGTCGCCAAGCTGGGGCTGCAGGCCCTGGTGGAGGAGCTGCAGATGAGCAAGAGCAGCCTGGTGGCCGAGTGTAACAAGGGCCTGGAGGAGAGGGGCCAGCTGGAGGAGCATGTCAAGAAGCTGGTTCTGGACAACCTATCCCTGGTCAAGGACAAGGACAACATCATCCAGAAGCTGCAGTGCTCCTACGAGGAGCTGGCTCGGGATCAGAAGTCGCTGGTGCAAGAGATCGAGGAGCTCACGGCTGAGAAGGAGGAGGCCGCCCGCGTGGAGTCGGCCCTGCGTGAGCAGCTGAACAGCCTTGGCTCTGAGAAGGAGCTGCTGGGCCAGAAGGCCACGAAGCTCCAGCGGCAGCTGCACTGGCTGCTGAAAGACCAGGCGCTGCTGGAGGCGCAGCAGACCGAGCTGCTGGCCGAGCGGGAGGCGTCCCTGCAGGCCCTGGCCTCCCTGGAGGACACCAGGAACACCAATGCGATGATGCAGAGTAAGGTGGGTGATGGTAGTGACCAGGGCTGTGTAGGCCCGGCCTCAGCCTTGAGAGAAACCATATCCTGGGCCATAGTGATAGCACAGCGCGGAGGGCGTTTGACTTACACACCGAATTCCCAGGTTCAATCCCCGGCATCCCATATGGTCCCCTGAGCACCGCCAGGAGTAATTCCTGAGTGCAGTTGTAGGTGAGCCAGTGCCCTCTGAACTCACAGCCCCACTTTCCCGGGCTCAAGTGACGGCTGACAGCCTGAGCTGTTCCACCCTAGCCAGGAGTGATCCCTGAGCACAGAGCTAGGGTTTATTCCCTACCCCACCGGGTGTGGCCCCAAACAAACCAAACTGACTACCCACAAAGGTTCTAGATAAGCATGTATACATACACAGACATGTATATATGTATATATGCGTGTATGCTTCAAAAGAGTCGGGGAATATCTACCATTTAAAATATCCGAGAATGATGCCGGAGCAATAGCATAGCAGGTAGGGTGTTGGCCTTGCACATGGCCAACCCAGGTTCCATCCCCGGCATCCCATATGGTCCCCGAAGCACCGCCAGGAGTACTTCCTGGGTGCAGAGCCTGGAGTCACTCCTGAGCAACGCCGGATTGTGACCCAAAAACCCCCTCCCCAAATTAATTGATTCATTAAAATAACAGAAGCCAAAAAGAGGGAAGCTGAGGAAGAAGGGGCTGTGCTCCCCTGGCGCCCGTGAGAACCAGGGGCCGCGCACATGCTGCCTGAACCCCACCCCCACACGCTCCCAGCACAAGAGATGATGCTTAAGGAGTGAGAGGCCCCTTGGACAAGGACACATCCCTTCAGTCAAGGGGTCATGTCCTTGCCAGAGCCCTCCAATGCCCTTCCTCTTGCTGCTCTCCCAGAACCTGGGCTTCGGGCTCCTATCACATTGGCAAATCTTCACTTTGCCAGAGTCGAACACCACTTTGGAGGGCTTCTTCCCTGCCAGGAAGGTTCAGTCGCAAATGGAAACGCCCACCAGCATGTGGCTTTTCCAGCCTCTTTGCGCATGCTCTAGTCCCAGAGCTGGGGGAGTCTGGTCCTCTGGGCTGCCTTCCTGCTTCTTGCTCCTGTCAAGGGAGACAGCTGGGTGGGGTCCTCCGGGGTTTGCACACTTGGCTGCAGTCCGGTGCCTGCACCTACCATCACCAGGCTCGGGTCTGGCCTGCAGCAGGAGTCAGCCTTGGGGCCTCCTTGATGTCACTCCTTCCCCAACCCCCCTTCCATCCCACCCGGGTCTGCAGCGCTTTATCGTTTGAATCCTCTCCAAGGAAGGGGACCATCTGGGTCCCAGTGCCCTGAGGAGTTCCCGCACACCCTCACTTCCTGCACTTCTGTACTTAACAGCCGGTGGTCCTGGAGGGCACTTGTGGGCTGAAGTGAACTTTGCATGTGGGCTGTGCAGGTGGACCCTGTATGGGTTTGTTGGGAACTGAACATTTCCATGTTTTGTTTTGTTTTGTTTTGTTTTGTTTTCAGCTGGAGGAAGAGAGATCTGCGTTTCTTGGCTCTAGTGTGGGATGGCCTGGGCACTCTCAGAGATTGGCCATCAGAACTTGCCCTGAGGGAGAAAAAGAATCAGTCTGTTTTTCTGGTTTTATTTACACTTTCTTTGGGGGCCACACCTGGCGATACTCCAGGATTCCTCCTGGCTCTGAACTCATTAATCACTCCTGGCTGCTCTCCGGCGGCCCCTATAGGATGCCAGGAATCAAACCTGGGTTGGCTGCGTGCGAGGTAAGCACCTTTCCCGCTGTGCTATCACTCAGACCCAACGCGCCTGCCAGTTTTCAAGTGAAACATGAATGTTTGTGCCTACAGTCATGCTTGCTTTTGTAAAGTGGGATTTCCCCCCGCCCCATTCATTTGAAAGAAGTGAGTTTGTCTTTGTAGGAGAGGGAAGACCCCTCTTGACTCCCTGCTCTGAGAAGAACCGAGGGGTACCAGCATCTCTTCCTGGGGTCTTCCCTGGGCACCCGGGAGCTTGCGCTCAGGAAGGGAAAGGGGAGCTCTGGCTGCCTCCAACCCTGGGGCAGGGACTGGAAGCGGGGCCCAGCCTCCTCTGTGGCGGGCTCCCATGGCTCCCGCAGATGGCTCACCGTCTCACGCTCTCCTTGAACACAGATTGATTTCCTGAATTCCGTGATTGTGGACCTCCAAAGAAAGAATCAGGACCTCAACATGAAAGTGGAGATGATGTCCGAGGCGGCTCTCAAAGGGAACGGGGATGACCTCAACAATTACGACAACAAAAACTTCGGCCCAGCCACCTCATTCTCTGCACTCTGCAGAAATCTCCAGCAGTTCCTGGATTAGATAGCAAGCTACTTGTGAAACACCTAAAACAACCAATTTACTGTCTTTACAAAGTTTATTTTTTTCCACTGTGGTTTTAGATGAATGTATGATGAGAAATTCAACATTAATAATTTTGGATTTTCTTATCAGAAAAAATTAAATGAAGGACCTGAACCATCAGAAGTTTATCATCCAGTCTGAATCTCTTTATGTTCATTTGAATGTTTTCTAGTTCTGTAAAACGTGATAAATAATGTACCATCAGGGCTACATGGATTATAAGAACTTCTATAATTGTATATATGCTTTTGATGTATTTTCCTCTGGAGATTATCAAGTGTCTCACCAGTGAAAGATCGTAATCCATTGACATTTTGAGTAATAAACACGATTGAAATTGTTTCACAAACTATGTAAAGCAGTATTAAAATTAGAGCAAACAATGTTCTTTATCTACTTGAATAAAATTATTTCCTTTTTGCCAGTGATAACTGATTATTCTCCGGTTTATTTATAAAAGATTTTTGGCTAGCAATCAAGAACTATAGAGTCAAAGAAGTCAAAGAGTTTCTACAATGGAATTCTGATACACCAATTTCTTTTTCTTTATGTTTGTGCCACACCTGGTGATGTCTTAGCGCTTATTCATGGCTCTGCACTCAGGAATCACTCCTGACAGTGCTTGGGCAGACTATACGAAACGTCAGGGATTGAAGCCAGATTGGCCAAAGCACATGCCCTACCAGCTGAACTATTGCTCTGTGCCTGTATGCCATTTTCTTAAAAGTGTTTATCTTGGGATAAAGAGGTAGTACAGTGAGTAGGTTTCTTATCTTGCATGTGGCTGATCTGGGTTGAACCGCAGGAATCCCATCCAGTCATCTGTGCCCTGGCAGGAGCAATCGCTAAGTGCAGAGGCAGGAGTAAACCGTAAGAAGCACTGGGTTGGGGGTATGGTGCCACCAGCAGGTCTCTCTGTACCTGTGAGGTGAATGCATCAGCAGTCTGATGGCGCCTTCAGACTTCCAGGTACCCCCTATTTGCTGCTGTGCCTTGGGCCAGACCCCAAAAACGTGGGGCAGAGTTTACCAAGAAAGTAAACAGGCAAAAGTTAGGTATGTGGGAGACACAGACACAAACCACCTCCAGTCCAGCTATATAATTGGAGGCATGGCCTCTCTGGTTCCTGATTGAACTGCTTAACGGCCATGATCCCAGAGACTCAGAAACAAATCTCGAAACCCAACAGCTTTGGGCAGAAATGTGTCCAGTCCCTGAAGTAAGTTACAGGCACTGGGCCACCCCAGGTGGGAATAGATTTCGTGCCTTGGCCCGTTCCCCCTGGCAGCCCGCTGGCCGCCATCCTCCAGAGGCCACTGGACAGTCAGGTTTGGGCTCACAGTGACGAGACACGTAGGGCCTCACGGGATGTGGGTGGAGCTGGCCCTTTCCTCCCCAACGAGACCCCAAGTCGTCACCCACAAACGGCCTCTCTGGCTGCTGATTTCATCTTGGAACCCAGCAGGTTTTGGCAAGAAATTCCTCCAGATTTAATGGTTAAAATTGTGGAATTTCAAAATCGCGCAGCCACTACTGCAGCCACGCGATGTCATATGTTATTCATAACCAGGAGTAGAAAACAAATTGTCTACTGTTGCCTTTACAGCAGATCTGAGCACCAAATAATAATGGTGGGTCCGGTGTCAATATATTGAATGTAATCAAAGCAGAGAGAGTAATATGGAAATTATCTCCTCTACAGGTAGGGGGAGGGTGTGGGATGGGTCTATACTGGGGTTTTTGGTGGTGGAGAATGGGACCTGATGAAAGTACGGGTGTTTCATTTTATGACCAAGACTTAAACGCGAAAGTTTTGTAACTGCTCTCATGGTGATTCAATCAATAAAATTATAAAAAATGAAAAGAAAACCACTGGGTGAGGTTTAAAAGCAAAAAAAAAAAACCCCAAAACAAACAAAACCTTTCTTGCATTATTGCAAAGCTTCCTAGTCAATGTACCTTAAAATGAATGCCTTCAGTGATTCTTCACAAGACAAAAATGAAGGGACACCAAGCAGTACAAACACCATCAATCCATAAAGTCTGGGAAAGAACTGGACATTGCTATATTATTAACCCAAAATGAACAGAACCAAATATGCTTATAAGCACCAACTCCTGTACGTTTGAAGCACATGTCCTCACGTTGAGATTTCTGGAAAAAGAACTTGAGTAGGACTGTTACTGTCAGCCTTCATAATACCCAATAGCAGTCCTTGACCTTAGAATCTATGGTAGGGAATTCAAACGGTCTATACATGAATCATGGTTACTTTGCAGGATATCCAAATATTATTACATCGTACTGTGAGTATTCTGTAATACTACGTTGTAAGTAAGTAAACTGTAGATTGGAGAGAGAGCCCTGGGGCAAGGCTGATGCCTAGCAAGCAGCAAACCCAGATTCTTTTCCCTGGCACTTCATAGGGTCCCCAGTAACCCCTCCAGGAGTGATGCCTGAGCAGAGCCCAGAGGAGCCTCAGCACTGCTGGATATGATTCCCAAGTCCCTTCACAAATATAAGTAAGCACCCATATTGTGGAATATGATATATATGGTCACAGTCCTCCCGTTGTTCATTGATTTGCTTGAGCGGGTCCAGTAACGTCTCCATCGTGAGACTTGTTGTTACTGTGTTTGGCATATTGAATATGTCAAGGGTAGCTTGCCAGGCTTTGCCTTGCGGGCGAGATACTCTCGGTAGCTTGCCAGGCTCTCCGAGAGGGGCGGAGGAATCGAACTCGGGTCGGCCATGTTGGCTGCGTGCAAGGCAAACGCCCTACCCGCTGTGCTATGGCTCCAGCCCATAATACACACACACACACACACACACACACACACACACACACACGAGATTGATATCCAAGGCTAGAAAAATGGAGGCCAGGAGGCCTTGTCAATGATTGGAGAAAACCACACGTGTAGGTGACGGAGGATGCTTAGGACAAAGTAGGGACCAGTATGGCAATAATGGTTGTGATGTAGGCAGGTAGATGGGGAAAGGCCCTTTGCAATGAAACAAAGTTTCATGGAAGAAGAATTCTAGGAATGACCCACCTTGTGGATACAGAAAGCAAAGGCCCGATAAGACCATCCGCAGACCCTGAGGATAAAGGCCTCCTCCCCATGAAATTCCTCTTTTTGGACCTCCCTGGTAACCTCCTTAGCAACGGATTTTTACTTGGGAAGAAGCCCTACGTGGGGGCAGGTTGGAGAAACCCTATAAAGGCCACCTTGAAAAAAGGAGCCCATGTGCTGCTTAATTCCTGCACTCTGTATGGTCCCCCGAGCACCGCCAGGAGTGTTCTCTGAGCACAGAGCCAGGGGTAAGCCCCGAACACCGCCAAATGTGCCACAAAAAAGAACTATCTTGTTACAGATTCGTTTTCTGCATGTACTGTTATGACTAAGGAGAACAAAAACTTCAACCAGAGTATCAGGAGAAAAAGACATACTTCAACAGGATGGAAAAAATCTTGAACTGAGGTGGGGCAGATAGGCCCAGAATTTGAACTTCCTGCAGAAATGCAAACGAATGTCAGAATGAAAAGGACAAATAGGGGAAGTGCAGGATAGCACAGCGGGCAGGGAACTTGCCTTGTTTGAGGCCAACCCAGGGTCGATCCCTGATCCCCAGCATCCCAAGTGGACCCTCCCCCACCAGGAGTGATCCTTGAGCGCATCGCCAGGAGGAAGCCCCTCACATCACCAGGTGTGGCCCCAAAACAAAAGAAAAGAAAAAGGCAGATGGGCCTAAGCATATCTGAGCTTTGCTCTGAAGTCTGGGGCCACAGGGAGCACAGGCTTTGCAGGAGGCAGAGTTCCCTCCCTCCACCCAGCCCCCAGCAAGGAGCCAGGAGTATCCCCAAGGCCAGCCCACTGCCAGGCTGCCGAAGATGGAGGACACAAGGAAGGGAAATGCGTTTCCCATGAAATCTACTGTGCTGTAATTCCCTGTGACACAGCGCACCCCCCCACCCCACCCCCATCGTCTGTTCTGGTTGCGGGGAGGCCCCCTCCTCTGTACTCTTGAGTGGCGATTGTCGGGGTCTCCTGCGCGTCCACGGTTGCCTCCCATCTCAGGTCCTTCCATCCGATCATCCTCCCAGCTCCCCACAGCTGGTCCCAAATGGTCGGTTCATCCCTGGTGCTATTTGCAGGAGACAACTCCCAAGTTGGGGGCACACAGACACCAGAGTCCCATCCTCCCCCGCGCTCCCCACAACGCACAGCCCCCCAGAATCAAGGCTGGCGCCCCTGGCTTGAGGAGGATCCATCAGTCAGAACGGGAAGTAGTTTTTTGTTTCATTTTGGTTTTGTTTTTTAAGACACTCGTCTTGGCATGCAACTTAGTGCTGGAGCGGTAGCACAGCAGGGTAGGGCCTTGCACGCGGCCGACCCGGGTTCGATTCCCAGCATCCCATATGGTCTCCTGAGCAACACCAGGAGTAATTCCTGAGTGCAGAGCCAGGAGTAACCCTGTGCATCACCGGGCGTGACTCCCGGCAAAAATAAATACACAAATAAATTTTAAAATATAAATGACCCATTTAACCACTTGTCCATTTCCCTCTGCTGTCTCATCACCTCTGTTCCCCTTCTCCCCCTATGTCCCAGGAATGTTTATGCAGCCATCCATGGAAAGTCACTCTTTCAGGGGCCGGGGAAGTCGTAGAACTGGTACTATCTTGTCTTGTACACAGCTGAGCTGGGTTCAATCCCTGGCACCCCATGTGGTACCCTGAGCCCAGAGCCATGGTAAACCCTGAGCATGGCCAGGTGTGCACCCATCCACCCCGAAGGAAAAAAACTTTCAGTGAATCTAAGGAACAAATGATGACTTTATTTTTTTTTGTGGGAATAAAAAAATTTAAAACTATTAAAAAATTTTAAAACAAATATTGAACTGTTTCTTCTTGTTAATCATGGCAAGCTGTGTCTGATTCAGAAATCTGAAGACAACTCAATTGTAGCTAATCTCAGGATCTTCATCGCCAGGTAGAGATTGTAAAGGATTCAGATGTAGGTCTGAGTGTGATGGTACATAAAGTGCTAAAAGGAATTTGCTCTGCTCTCAGGTTGAAAGCCTAGAAGGGTTTAGGTCCAGTTTCCCTGGGTTCATGCAGAAACCGCTGCCTGCCCCCAAGGGCCTTGTTGGCGTGCAGTCCTGATGGCGGAGGCTCTCGCCATCCTGGACTCCCACATGGAGGCGCAGATCTGCTGCCTCTGAGAGAGGACGTCGCCTACACTCACCCAGCCCCTGGGTTTGCTGCGGTTTTTCCCCAGACTGTAGTTATCTCCAGCTTAGCTGCACGCGATGTGTGCCAAAGGTGAAAGTCAGCGTTTCTTTCGGGAGCTTGTCTCCAAGTTAGGTTTTCAGACAGGTTGAAAACAGGTCCAGATCTGTCGGGATGGGAGATTTGTGATGAAAGTAGATAATGGAACAAACATGATGACCTCTCAGTGTCTGTATTGCAAACCATAATGTCCAAAAGTAGAGAGAGAGTATGGGGAATGTTGTCTGCCATGGAGGCAGGGGGAGGGTGTAGAAGGGGGCGGTATACCTGGGAGATTGGTGGTGGGGAATGTGCACTGGTGGAAGGATGGGTGTTTCATCATTGTGTGATTGTAGCCCAAACATGAAAGATTGTAAGTTTCTCATGGTGATTCAATAAAAATAAATAAATAAAATTTAAAAAATAAATAAATAAATGAATAAATAATAAAAAAGAAAACAGGTCCAGCTGCGGAAGGCAGGGCCAGTCCTGCCCTGCTCCGACCACTGCTAAAGCCCAGAGCAGACGGGGGCAGGGTGGTCCTGTTCAGCGTACCCCACTTCCCTGACGGCCAAGGACAGATACCAGAACCAGAATCTCAGGTGCGGGCTTTGGTCAGGAACTCTGCGGGTCCGGGAGGCAGCCTCCGCAGTCCTGAGCTCACTGTGGGTGCTGATGTCTGGCTGTCTCTGCGCTCACGCGCTGCCGTGCTCACCTCACCCTCTCTTTTTCCTCCCACTCCTGCTTCCTTTGCTCTATCTGTGTGTCTTTGATGGAAAGACTAAAGAAACTCTATCCACGTTATAATAAATTTCATATATTTTTTTAGTTAATAATATTTGGTTCTTGTTTTTTGCATTTTGAAAGGCTGCCCAGTAACACTTTAAGGCATTTGCATGATGACTGAGATTTATTTCTTATGAAAGTCGTAAGGAAAGAATCTGGATAGTGTGATCCCTTGGGAAAGGTTTCTGGCCCCGGACACCTCCCTTCCGGCTCTCCTCCCTCTGCTGTTGCTCATGACACCAAATCTAAAGCGTGTGGCTTTAAAGGGGCCGACGTATTTGTGACTCGGGCATCGGTAAAGAGGCCCGATGTCCTCCAGCCACTTGTGGATTGCACGGTAGAAGTCAGAGCTGAGAAGAGACCAAAGGAATTAGCCGTGAGGACTGGTCAGCAGGAGCAGCTGCCAGGGTCTGTTTGGCCGTGTCCATGTAGGGGTCGCCACACGTGCCCACTCGAGGAAAGGCTGCCAGGTGATTGTGCAATGTTCCAGGCTTGTGTCAGGAATGCGCCAAGGAAGCTTCCCTCCCCTCCTGCCTTAGAGCTGATGGCTCAGGCTAGTTGGATAGTCCTGACCAAAGAATGGGAATGTGGGACTGGAGCGACATTCCAGCGTGGAGAGCGTTTGCCTTGCACACGGCCAACTTGGGTTCAATCCTTGGCATCCCATATGGTCCCCCAAGCACTGCCAGGAGTAATTCCTGAGTGCACAACCAGGAGGATCCCCTGAGATCTCTCATTATGACCCCCTCCCCGCCCAAAAAAATCGGAATCTGCTCATGATCACGGTCACAACCATCCTGTTGTTTGTCGATTGCCTCGAACAGGCCCCAGTAATGTCTCCTTTGTCCTAGCCCTGAGAATTTTTTAAAAAGTGCCATATTCAAGGCTCTTTCAGGGTTAGTAGAATGAGCCTCATCATTGTTACTGGTATTTGGCATATTGGGTAAGCCACGGGGAGTTTGCCAGACTCTGCCGTGTGGGCAGGTTACATTCGGTAGCCTGCCAGTTTGTCCAAAGAATGAATGAGATAATAAGATGCTTCCGGGAGCTGGGTTTTATAGTCTCTGGGTCTTGGCCGTTGATGGGATTACAGGGCACAAGGGGGCCAGTTGGTGGGTGTAACCCCTGCCTACTGGAATATGGAGGATCTGAGTGGAGGATGCTCAGCCCCAATACGAGCAGGCTTGGAGATCTCAGCCCCAGGACACGCATGCCTTTGTTCCTCTGCCAGTACCTTCATGCCTGTGGAGAGTGGTCTCAGCATGGTGGTGGCTGGTTGTGGAGGTCTTTGGCTGCCGGAGCCCTGGTCGGGGTGGGGAGGGAAACTCAACCTGCTCCCCTCCAAGGGGTCCCGGCGAGGACAGCCTGGCGCGGGGGCAGAAGACTCTGCTCATCCTCCTTAAACCCCTTTACTTTGAATAAAGATTTAAAATCAGATTTTCTAAGTATGTGTTAGATTTAGAGCAAGGAACTCTTAAAATAATCTTATGGTGGGATCAGTTACCAAATAAGTTTTTGTTTTGCTTTGGGGACACAGTGCTCTTCAGTCATTCCTGCCTCCAGAGACCATGCAGTGCTGGGGACCCCAGCCCAGCCCCAAACACATGCCATAGGAACCTCAAGATTCCTGACCCACAGGGTTGCATCAGAGATTTCCTTTCCAGTAAAACGCTCTTATTTCCACCTAAACAAGATCCTATTCCCTAGCGAGGTGTTGCTCATGTAATAGCTTAACTGCACAGAAGTCCACCCTTTCCGGTGTATTTCCAGCCCTTGGGTGTGGAATTCAGGAGATCTCTGTTAGTCTCAGATTCTTTGCTTACTATTTAATGATCTGGAGTGTAAGTGTGAGCCAGGCGCTGAGGGAAATACACACTTCTCTTTTCATCTCTGTGAGAATTCCCGTTTGCCGTAAACCCATGAGAATTCTGTAATGTGTGTGCGGATATCTTGGGTCTCACTAACCAGACATACATTCTGCCATTTCTAACGTGGGCCTCAGTTTCCGATTCCTCCTGTCAGTTTTCGGAGGCATCTGACACTCGGAACATGCTCTTCGTTCACCCACTCACCCGGGGACCTGAGAGACTCGGCTTGTTGCTGTAAGTTACGCCTCATTCAATGTGTCACCTGCCTGCATCACTGGTGCTATGGCCCAGAGCATGTGATCTAAATATGCATGACCCAGTGCCGCAAGGTGGGTTGGAGGGAAAACCCAGTGGCCCTCCCGGCTTCTCCCAGGGGTGCACATTCCCTCCATCCCCAAGGCACACAGATTCGAACCACTGAGTAGGACACGAACATCCACTGCTGTCCTGGACCCCAGACTTTAATGAGATCCCCCACTTCACACGCACCTCTGTCTCTCTCCCAATATGCATCCCACGAGCCACACTTCTGTCCCCTCTCATGTCCTTTCCAGGCTGTGGCATTGCCCAGTCTTGACTGAACGTCCGTCCCCACCCTGTGCTCCCCCACACACGTCCTTTTGTGTGTGTTTTAATTGTTGTCATTGCTTGGTAATAATTTATTCAAGAAATAGCACTTCAACCTGGGATTAGGTGTTTAAAAGAATTCTTTTTTGGGGGGTGGGGTGGGGCTGCAACAAGTTCTTTTTTTTTCTTTCTGTTCTCCATCTCGCAAAGGTATTAACTTGTTTCTTTAAATTCAAATGGACACAATGATACGCTGGTTCTGGCATGTACACACAGGCAAACTTTTTCTCCCTCACAGTCAGTAAAATTTCACTAAACTTCTGCAAGCATCAAAGCCTGGACCCCTCCCCCCGCAACAGTCTTGGGAACCGTTGAGCATCAGTTCTAGGGCAGTTGTGCACTGGCCTCTCTCTGGGTTGATTTCTGGTACAGGAAGGGAAGTCGAGGCCCCAGGGGCCATGAGGACCCTCAGGGCCTGTGACCAGCAGTCCTTGGCCAGCGGGTCCTAGGAGGCTCAGTGGGCTGGGGGTTTTCCCACCTGGAGTGGAGGGCGCCCCCTAGCAGGCGAGGGGGTGCGTGGTGAGTCTGGGGCGGGGGCGCTGCAGCGGGGACAGCCCCCTGCCGGCAAGTGCAGGGTGCCCGGGCCGCCGCTGACCCCCATCTCCTAGACCACGCTGGGCAGGGTGTCCCCCCCCCCCCCACGAGGGAGATGAGGAGCCCGAAGCCTGAGCCCAACGCCACCGCTGGACCCAGACCCAAAGCCGCACGCCAGGGGCCCCCGCCCGCCCCGCCCGAGGGGCCAGGATCCCAGGCCGCCATCCAGTCCTGCCGCCCCCGTCCCCGCCGCCAGAGCCCCGCGGACAGATGCCTCAGGACTGAGACCCCCGCGCTGGGGGTCCGCGCCCGCGGCCCAGGACTCGCGCGCCCTGCGCTCCCCGCCGCCCGCCCGCCGCGGCCCCCAGGAAAGACGGTCACGTGGCCTCGGTGTGCGCCTCGATGGGCGCCGGGGGCTGGGGTCCGCCCCGCGCGGGCAGACGGGCGCTGGGGGTCGCCCGCCGGGAGTCGCGCGCCCTGTTCCGGCCCCCGCCAACCCACCTGGCGCCACGGACCTCGGGCATCCGGCCGGAGGTCCCCCAGGGACCGCTGCGGGGGCAGCGCCACCTCCTGCGGCTCCGCAACCATGGGCTGGCCCCCGAGGGGCGGGCAGGGAACCCCGGGACGGGGGGGACGCGGCCTGAGCGAGGCGCTGATGGGTGTCAGGCAGGGCCCCGCACCTGTGCAGTTCGCACGGCGGCCAGCAGAGGGCGCGGCGAGCCGCTGACCGGCCTGCTGGGGCTGCTGGTCGGTCCCTCACTGGGCAGGACCCGGTGATGGCCAGGGGAACCCGAGGACCCCCTGAGACCGCTCCCAGGAGCCGGGGTGGGGCGGGGGGGGGGAAACATGCCCTTGCAAGGCCAGCTGCCAGAGCAGGGGAGATGACGCCAGGGCGCCCTCCTCCCACCGCCCCCAGCTTCCCGGGAGGGTCCCTTGGAGGGAGCAGAGGCAGCGCTGTGCCCGGGCTCTGCTGGGGGTCTGGGGGGGGGGTTGTACAGCCCCCGGGAAGCACTGAGTCTCGGCGGCCTGTGCCCTTGCTCCGTGGGGCACCCCCGGCGCCCCTAGCGGTATGGAGGGAGATGAGGGGGTGTGATGTCACTATTTTCACATGACCGCGGCGTCACGTGGCGGCGGGGCCC